CTTGCTCATGGGTATAAATAAAGGAGAGACATCGTCTCATGGCTGAATCCTGGGGCACCATGAGGTTTAGAGGTTTAGAAGTGATAAAGATGAAGATTGAGCAGTGGGGACTATAGGAGGAATCTGTGAGGATGGACTAAAGTTGAGAGAATATGATATTCTGGAGGCCAAGAGAAGTATGTATTTCAAGGAGAAGTAAATGAAACGACAGATGTTGACGGGGATGTGGAGAAAGGGGAACCCTCCTACACCGTTGGTGGGAATGCAAGCTGGTGCAACCACTCTGGAAAACAGTATGGAGGTTCCTCAAAAAGTTGAAAATAGAGCTACCATACGATCCAGCAATTGCACTATTGGGTATTTACCACAAAGATACAAATGTAGGTATCCGAAGGGGTACGTGCACCCCAGTGTTTATAGCAGCAATGTCCACAATAGCCAAACTGTGGAAAGGGCCAAGATGTCCATCGACAGATGAATGGATAAAGAAGAGATGGTATATATACACAACGGAATATTATGCAGCCATCAAAAGGAATGAGATCTTGCCATTTGCAATGACGTGGATGGAACTGGAGGGTGTTATGCTGAGTGAAATAAGTCAATCAGAGAAAGACATGTATCATATGACCTCACTGATATGAGGAGTTCTTAATCTCAGGAAACAAACTGAGGGTTGCTGGAGTGGTGGTGGGTGGGAGGGAGGGGGTGGCTGGGTGATAGACATGGGGGAGGGTATGTGCTATGAGGAGCGCTGTGAATTGTGCAATACCATTGAATCACAGATCTGTACCTCTGAAACAAATAATGCAATATATGTTAAGAAAAAAAAAAGAAGAAGATAGCAGGAGGGGAAGAATGAAGGCGGATAAATCGGAGGGGGAGAAGAACCACGAGAGATGATGGACTCTGAAAAACAAACTGAGGGTTCTAGAGGGGAGGGGGGTGGGGAGATGGGGTTAGCCTGGTGATGGGTATTAAAGAGGGCATGTTCTGCGTGGAGCACTGGGTATTATGCAGAAACAATGAATCATGGAACACTACATCAAAAACTAATGATGTAATGTATGGTGATTAACATAACAAAAAATTTAAAGAGAAAAAAACAAGGAGAAGTAAATGGAACTCAGGTTTGAAGATGGAAACAAAGTTGGCATTTTAACCTTGACTTCTTAGGAGCAGGAATACAAGAAGAACTAACAGATGCAAATCAAACATCACTTTTGAAAGAACAAGCAGAAAGTTTAACTCTCAACAGCAAAACAAGGGGAAGGGGTTGCCAATAGCTGTGAAATACCAGGTAGAGGTGGGTGCTGAGCTGAAGATTTCAGAGCTGCTCCTTTTGAAGGTGGAACCTGAAATTGTCAAACCTAATCTTGTAGAACAGCAGAAGGACTTTCAGGATGGTGCTAGATCTCTGTGCTGGGTTTCTTCATGAGAAACAAAGGGATGGGGTAGAATGAGGACTCACAGGCACAAGCTGTGTTGGAAAGCTGCAGTCCATCTGTGAAGTATTAGAAAATGAAAAAGACTTTATACTTGAAAAAACTAAAAAGACTTCATTCAGTTGAAGAATAGTAAAGACTGAGGAGAGCATGCAGTACCCTTGTTAGGAAATATTCCTGCCAGTTTGGAATACGGTTCTCAGTTCACCCCCATGGGAAAGCTGGATCAGGAAATAGCTGGGTCAGGAAAAACCCATCTGTTTCAGTGCTCAGGAATTAAAAAACAAAACAAAACAAAACAACAGCCATCACAAGATATATGCAAAGTTATTACAAGAAACAGGAGAAGACAGGACAAGCAAGTGGTAATTCACCTGAAAAATGTCATGCAATGCCTAAATATTGTTCCTAGTTTTTAATATAAATTAACAATGAAATAATGGCTTTGGGTGTGCAAGAGCATAAAATAGGCAAATAAGAGGTTCTGAAAGAGATAGTAAGTCTGCAGGAAGATGTATTATGAGCTATGTTATATCACAGGAAATAATTGGAAAAAAAATAAAATCACTGCAGTAATCAAAACACAATTTGAAAAAACAGGTAGAAAAAATAATACTGAAAGTATAGTAGGAAATATAGAGGTTATAAATGAGAAACCAAAACAACAAAGGGTATGGAAATAGTACCTGACATCAAGTAATGGCTTCTTGTTTTCATTACATATGTTTTATAATTTTTATCCCAAATTTCCTTTGCCAAGACAAGCTCATTGAATACTTCAGCTCAGTTCTCCTTCCGTGTCTGTCCATCAAGAAATTAATTCCTGGTCCTATAATTAGGTAATTGTATTTTAGGAGACTTCTCTCCACACACCCCGCCCCCAGGATTTTGATCTTCCCAAGAGAAAGATCTTGGTTTCACTCTTTAATAATCCAGAATTGCACATTATTAATGATTTTGCTTGACCATGGAGTCACATAGAGCCAGATTTTCATAATAATTCAGAAAGTCATTACCATAAACTCTTTGTAAACATACATGCCAGGTCATCAGGCATTAGATTCTGATTTGTCAGGTATACATTGACATAGAGACTGAAAAATCATGCCTGTGTTACCATTCTTGTTTCTTCTGAACAGCATGTAGTAACACATGCTCATTTTAAAAGTTATCATGGAATATGAAAGCCAACTCCATGTCATCCTCCTCATACACACACACTTCAAGTCCTAAGAGGAACAGGACACTTTTGATGGGGTTTATATAGATTTGTTAATAACATTTAAATATTTATTTTCATAATAAAACTAACATTTATTATTAATACCATAAATATTATTCTATACATGCTTTTTTTGATCTTTCAGTAGCATTTTACCATATTTGCTGGTTTTTACAGAACTATTTTTAAACGTACAGACATTAAACCACTAAATCTTTCAGTATGATGCCTAAGAGCTTGTGTTTGGTAAAGCTCTCCAATTAATTCTGATAAAAACCATTTGTTAAATACCACTGACTTAATATTTATTCAAAGTGTTGAAAGAAAATCATAGGTAGAGTTATGGCTGCCAGAAACATAGTTGAATGAAAATCAGAGCTGTGTGAAATATTTAAAAATTCAGCATTTAACAAAGATGTTGTTATAGCAGCGTAGCTCATGTTTGTGTTAAAGTAAATGATACAAACAGGCTTTTTTTTTTTTAACTTTTTATTTTAATCACCCAGTGCTCATCACGACAAGTGTGCTACTTAATCCCCATCATCAGTTTCATCCATTCCCTCCACCTCCCCTCTGGTAACCATCTGTTTGTTCTCTATAGTTAAGAGTCTGTTTCTTGGTTTCTCTTTCTTTCTTTTTCCCTTTGCTCATTTGTTTTGCTTCTTAAATTCCACATATGAGTGAAATCATATGGTATTTGTCTTTCTCTGACTGGCTTATTTCACTTAGCATTATATTCTCTAGCTCCATCCATGTCCTGGTAAATGGCAAGATTTCATTCTTTTTTATGGCTGGGTAATATTGCAGTGTGTGTGTGTGTGTGTGTGTGTGTGTGTGTACACCACATCTTCTTTATCCATTTGTCAGTTGATGGACACTTGGGCTGTCATCATAATTTGACTATTGTAAATAATGCTGTTATAAATACAGGAGTACATGTATCTCTTGAATTAGTGTGCTTGTATTCTTTGGGTAAATACTCAGTGGTGCATTTGCTGAATCATAGAGTAGCTCTATATTTAACTTTTTGAGGATCCTCCATATTGTTTTCCACAGTAGCTACACCAGTTTGCATTCCCACCAACAGTACATGAGGGTTCCTTTTTCTCCGCATCCTTGCCAACATCTGTTGTTTCCTGTGTTGTTGATTTTAGCCATTCTAACAGGTGTGAGGTGATACCTCATTGTGGTTTTGATTTGCATTTCCCTGATGAGTGATGTTGAGTATCTTTTCATGTGTCTGTTGACCATCTATCTATATGTTTTCTTTGGAGAAATGTTTGTTCATGTTATAGGCCTTTCATTTTTTTTTTTCTTTTTAGCAAATGAAGCTGAAAGTGATGGGGAGATTTGGGAAGGCAACTTTTTAAAAACATTGGACTGTAAACTAAGAGAATGAAAGAACTTGAGTATAAGATTATGGATGAGAATGAACAATTTTATGGGGACAAACAGCTGGGCTTACAAGAATAAAATATATTCATTCTAGATTTGTAAATTGATGGCTTGGTTCTAATCTGAATCCAGATATATTGATATGTTTGGTTCATTGTGATACCTTTAAAAAAATATTGTCAGTTCTTAGGTTATTGGACTCAGTAGTATTAGTATTGGCATTCTATGGAATTGTATGATACATTATTAGAAATATAGTATTGTAGCTAGCAGAGGAGTAAAGACAGATATGCATAATCAAAAAATATTAAGGTACAGGTAAATGAAAGTTCCAGGATTAGGTTTAGAGTTGTAGGTTTTCATGTTATGGGAGATATAAAAACATTTATATATATATAAATATGTATGTATGTATATATATATATATATATATATATGTATGTATGCAGGATTGAAGACTAATGTTAAATGAGGTGAGATTTGGTTGGGAGAAAGCCAGAAAACATTGCAAGAGGGTTTGATGGCCAGGAGAAGTCCACACTGTTGAACAACTCTGATGGAATAAAGGGAAAATACCATTAATCAAAAGAGCTGTAAATTGATCCTGTGGCAAGAAAGACTTTTTACCACTCATTGTTTTTGCTATTTTGTTGTGTGTTTTTATTCCCGGTGCATCAGAGCTAGAAACAGAATTAGAGATATTAGGGATAGGGTTATCGTACTGTTTCCTTTTGAATTAGAGGTCTTAGAAGTTTGATTTGTTGTTATTGTGTGGAATGGAAAAGAGAGATGAGACTGGAAGTGTGTATACTGTTGTTATAATCGAGACATGAGGAGATAATGAACTAAGCTTGTCCACTCCCCGAAACCTAATTAATTCTGTTTCTCCTGAATGTACTTGTCAACTAATCTTCCTTGTTACTCTATTTATATTTCAGAATTAATTAATAACAGTAGAAACTATTCAAGAAAGAAGTTCAATGAGTTTAACAAAGGTAGAAATGGGCTCCTTAATGATAAATATGAAAGAATTCATTCTGAAGAGAAACTTTATGAATATAATAAAAATGGCTTCCACCGTAATGACGACTTTGTTCACCATCAGAAAATTCAAATTTTGGAGCAACCTTTTGAATACAGTGAATGTAGGAAAGCTTTCCATGAGAATTCACTCTTTGTTGTACATAAGAAAGCTTACACAGGGAAGAATACCTGTGAATACACTGAATATGGGAAGATCTTCTGTGATATGTCATCTCTTATTGCTCATCAGAGAACACATCCAAGAGAGAATCACTGTGAATTTAATGAATATGGAGAAAACTTCTTTGAGGAATCCATTCTCTTTGAGCATCAGAGTGTTCAGCCTTTCAGCCAGAAGTCAAACCTCATTCCAATTCAGAGAACCCACTCAATTGACAATATACTTGAATATAATGAATGTGGAACATTTTTTAGTGAAAAGTTAGTCTTTGGTGTACAGCAGAGAACACACACAGGAGAAAAACCTTATGAATGTCATGAATGTGGAAAAACCTTCAACCAGAAGTCAGCCCACACAAGACATCAGAGAACACACACCGGGGAAAAATCTTGTGAATGTCATGAATGTGGGAAAACTTTCTACAAGAATTCAGACCTCATTAAACACCAGAGAATTCACACAGGGGAGAAACCTTTTGAATGTCAGGAATGTGGGAAATCCTTCAGTGAAAAGTCTACCCTCACTCAACATCGGAGAACACACACAGGGGAGAAACCATATGAGTGTTGTGAATGTGGGAAAGCCTTCTCATTTAAGTCCGTCCTTACTGTACATCAAAAAACACACACAGGGGAGAAGCCCTATGAATGTTATGAATGTAGGAAGGCCTTTCTCAGAAAATCAGACCTCATTAAACATCAAAGAACTCACACAGGGGAAAAACCTTATGAATGTCATGAATGTGGGAAATCCTTCTCTGAGAAGTCAACTCTTACCAAACATCTGAGAACTCACACGGGTGAGAAACCCTATGAATGTATTGAATGTGGAAAATTTTTCTGCTACTACTCGGGTTTCACAGAACATCAGAGAAGACACACAGGGGAGAAACCTTTTGGATGTAATGAATGTGGGAAAAATTTCCGTCAGAAGTCAGCCCTAATTGTTCATCAGAGAACTCACATAAGACAGAAACCTTATGAATGTAATGAATGTGGAAAATCATTCTGTGTAAAGTCAAAACTCATTGCACATCATAGAACACACACGGGGGAAAAACCCTATGAATGTAATGTTTGTGGAAAATCATTCTATGTGAAGTCTAAACTCACGGTACATCAACGAACACATTTGGGGAGAAACCCTATAAATGTAATAAATGAGGGAAATCACTCTGGGTGAAGTCAAGAGTTTATAGAAAAAGAACAAAAATGGGGAGAAAAATCCATTGATAACAATGATTGTGAGAACATCTTTGGTCTAAAGTCAGTTCTCACAATATAGCAGAGAACTTACAGAGGGGAGAGAATGATATGAAGCTGTGGAATATAGAAAACTTCTGTGCTGGGATTGGACCCATACTCAGTGGAGAAAACCTATTGGTGAATGAATATAGGGAACCTTTTGCCCAAAGCCACACCTCACTAAACATCAAAGAAAACAAATAAGTTAGAAACATCTATCAGCATTTGTAGGGTAGAGAAGACTTTATCCATGGGCCTTAGAAAATGCACAAATTATAGGAAACTCTAGGAAAGCATTTAGTCTGAGGTGATGACTTGTGTGAAGTGCTTGAAGTAGTATCTGGTCGATGTTGGAAATCACTAGAGAAAATATTTTCAATATGTGGAAGCTTTAAGTTAAATCTAAGCTTATACATCAGAGGTTTTGAAGGTTTTCTAGCCATTTAGGAAATGTGGAGAACGTTTTCATTTAGAAATAGTGTTTTCTTTTTGTAAAGATACACTTTGGCCCCTTGCCAGTCCGTTGTTCCCCTCTGTTTAAGGTATTAGATGTGAAAACACACCACACTGGGAGCACAGTTGTAAGCACGTCAGAGGTTTATTGCTCAGGCATATGCAGAAAAAGAGAAGATTTTTAGCAAGAGGACCCACCAACAGGACTTTCTGATGTCCAGGTAAAAGAGAGAGGTTTTGGATCTGGTGACACATGTAGGAGTAGCTTGCCAGCAGGATGTTTTAGTAATTCTGGGATAGATTGATTTTGAGTGGCTCATCCTGGAATAGTGGATCCAAGGGGAAAGGTGAGTTGCTATGCATGCAACATAGTGAATGTAGGAAAAGTGAGTGTGGAGCATAGGTGGTTTCTTTCCTGGCAAGTGTCATCCTGTTGTGAGTGACTTACTGTACCCAACTCTATTTCTCCACGTACTTAACACCTTTCATATGTGATGTAACAATTTCAAAAAACAAACATTTAGGGCGCCTGGGTGGCTCAGTTGGTTAAGCGACTGCCTTCGGCTCAGGTCATGATCCTGGAGTCCCAGGATCGAGTCCCACATCGGGCTCCCTGCTCGGCAGGGAGTCTGCTTCTCCCTCTGACCCTCCCCCCTCTCATGCTCTCTCTCTCTTTCTCTCTCTCAAATAAATAAAATCTTAAAAAAAAATTTATATATGAAAATGCATTCTTAAATATAGAGCTTTAAAAAAGCACAAGTAGATAATACTACCAGGTAGGTTATAGTAGCTTATAGCAGATCAGTGTAGTAACTGAGAACAGCTAGAAAAATATCACAAAAAGCATCTATTTGAATGCAGCCTATTGCTGCAGAAGCAAAGAGGACTAGAGGTAACATGCAGGAGAGGAGTGAATCCTAGAAAGTACACGGGCAAAATGCAGCTGTTTTACCTGGGAGCACTTGCCAGTTCTGGCCACAGGGAGGAGCCTGAGTATTGAGCGTGGCTCAGGTGGAGGCTGGAATTCTTCGTAGGAGGGCAGAGACCAGAGCCAGCAGAACTTCTGGCCATCAAGGCTGGAGTGAAAAATTCTTAAACATTAGAGGTCAGACACATGACAGTTTTTGAAGAAATTTTTAGAAGACTGACTCAGCACAGAGCAGGAGCCTGAAAAGCAAAGCTGAAAGTAGATTTTTTTTTTCGGTACTAAGAAAAAAATGATTAGAATTTGGGAACTGCCAGTAGGATGGGCCCTTGCTGAGCACAGCATGCTATCAGTAAAAGCAAGGTCATATCAGAGGTAGAGTGTACCTTACTGCAATTGCAAACGATACCTGGTATTTAAAAAAACAAAACAAAACAAAAAGAAACCTGCCCAGGAAGAAAACTCTTAAGAACAGATGGCTTCACTGTAGTTACTCCAAATATTTAAGTAGGAAATGATACCAAGCTTTTATGAACTTTTCCAGAGAAAGGAAGATGGAACTTTTCTAATTCATTTTGTGAGCTCAGTATAACCTTGATACCAAAACCTGTAAAAGACATTTCAGGAAAGTAAAGTTACCAGTATTTTAATTAAGGTGCGTAATCCTAAATTTAAAAAAATCCAGTCATACCCATGGACAAAGTAATGTTTATTAGAGGAGCCAAGGGATTTAACATTTAAAATGAAATCAGTTTGGCCAGTTCTTCCTCTCACATTCTCCTTTCTCCCTTGTGCTTTCTGTATTTCTCTCTTGCCTTCCCTTCCTAGAGTGGATGTCAGAACAGGCCTGCCTTGGTGGATGAGAAAGGTATTGTGGTGAGGTGCACACCTGGATCAGAAGTGTTGAGGGCAGCTGGAAGAGACGATCAGCATGGCTGAAATCTTTAACATTGAGCAAATAAAATGTATTGAGGATGATGAGAGCCCAGACTAGAGAAGGCTTTCATAAAAATGGAGAAGGGGAAAGTTAGAAAACCCCAGAGTGTTGGATCGAAATGTAACTCATAGAAATTGTGTGTGTGTGTGTGTGTGTGTGTGTGTGTGTGTTTTATGGATCTATCTGCTGAGAGGGCCTGCATACAGTGATACCCCAGAAGCAGTGAGCACAGTTTACTAATTTCTTTACCAAGTGCCAGTTCACTAATTTCTAAATGCTGTCCTCCACCAAAAAAGAGACCAAGTCTCTGGAGTGATGGCAGATTCCAGGTCAGAGGTAGGAAGAAATATAAGATGAAGCTGAATCATCTTACCTACAAGACAAAAATGTTCAAAGACTCTTGGAGACAAAAGAACCATCTTGGACAGGTTCCACTGGCCAAATTTGAGACAGTTCGGACAACAAAATAATGATAGCATCAGAATACAAGAGACTTAATAGAATGTGAATCCATTAATTTATAGTGATATGAATAAATGAGTAAATTTATGGAGGAGAAGGGAAAACTTTTTTTTTAAAGGTTTTTATTTATTTGACAGAGACACAGCGAGAGAGGGAACACAAGCAGGGGGAGTGAGAGAAGGAGAAGCAGGCTTCCTGCCAAGCAGGGAGCCCGATGTGGGGCTCGATCCCAGGACCCCAGGATCATGACCTGAGCTGAAGGCAACGCTTAACGACTGAGCCACCCAGGCGCCCTGGGAAAACTTTTCTTTACAGAAGATGCCAATTAATGTAGGGAGAATAACGGAAATAGGAAAACACCATGGCAGCCATCAGAGTGGTGGTTGATTTAGGTGGTAGTTGCCAACATAGGCTAGAGTTCGTGGGTAGAGGTTTGATGAAGAATATATTAACATAATCTTCAGATATTTCCCCACAAAATACTAATCAGCTGCAAAGGTGAAAGTGGTGATTTTATGATTAAACCCGGCAGACACCAACATGAGGTGATCACCTCACCAGTGGAGTGGGACAGGTCAACATGATGTGTCCCCTGATGGGATGCCCTGAGAAGAGCCAGCATCATCTGTGTGGTATTTTTGCCAAGAAACATGACCTGTGTTTGCTTAGGAGATATCAGGTGAACCCATTTGAAAGGTTATTTTACTGAATGCAAAGCCTATTGTCTTTAAAAATGTGAAGGACATGAAAACTCCAGATTGGAGGGGACTGATCTATTTTAAAGATTTATTTATTTATTTTAGAGAGTGAGTGTTCGTGTGAGTAGGGGGAGGGGCAGAGGGAAAGAATCTTCAAGCAGACTTCCTGCTGAGTGGGGAGCCCTATGTGGCGCTTGATCTCATGACCCTGAGATCATGACCTGAGCCAAAACCAAGAGTTGGACTCTCAACTGACAGAGCCACCCAGGTACTCCGAGACTGGAGATATTTTAAAATAACAAAAAGGAAGACTAGACTTTGTTAGAACAGTTGGCAAAAGTCAGCATATGGATTGGACGGTGGTATTTATCAGTGTTTATCTCCTGACTTGGATGATTGTTGGGTGCCTTTGTGGAAGATACACCCTGGAGTAGGTAGGGGTAATGGAGCCTCATGTCTGCAGCTTATTTTCAGATGCTTTAGAGAAAGTCTAGTAATTTGTGTGTGTGAGTGCAAGTATGCGAGGGACAGATGTAGGAGGCGCAGTGCAGTTAGGGGAATCGGAGTGAGGGGGATATGGGAGTCTTTTTGGTATTAAGCTTGTGACTTTTGTAAGTGTGAAATTATTTCAGAATAAATATTTAAAAGTTCAAGTTAATTGACATAACCTACCACATCAGTAGAAAAAGCAAGTAACGCCACTTGATTATTTCAATAGATGCAGAAAACATATTTGATAAAACTTTACACCCATTTGTGGTTAAAAAAACAACAAAACTAGGAATGGAAGGAAAGCTCGTCAAAAACAAGGAAACCAACATACAGCAAACATCATACCAAGTAGACAAATACTGAGATATGGTTTCATTCCTGATATGAATGAGATAAGAATGCTTATTACTGCTTCTGTTTAACATAGGACTGAAGCTCTAGCTTATCATCAAGACAAAAAGGAAAAAGAAGTATAAGGCATAAAACTGAGGAGACTGAAGCACAACTCATTATTGGTAGGTGGTATCATTGCATAGAAATGTGAAAAAAATCTATGGAGACGTTATTAGAAGTAAGTGATTAAACAAACTCACTGTACAAAAATTGTTTCTATATATAAACTACAAATAGAAAATAAGTGATACCAGGGAAGTTTTATCCACCCAGGATAGGGTAGCAGAGACCAGATTTACCTGCCTGCCTAAAAACACGGGGAAAAGGGAAACATAAAATCTAGGAAATAATTGTTTTCATGTCAGTGGGCATTAGGCAGTGCTCCCTGTGGGTGGATAGGTTCACTACATTGTGGTGATGCTTATACAGGTGTATTAAATTATATCAAGATGTACACTTTAACTACTGTTACGTTGCTGTTAGATTTACAATAGTCCTAAAACAGTAAGTTCTAGAAATCCAAAAACTTCATTGCCAAATTAAGGGATGTTAAAGACCAAAATAAATGGAAGGATATACTCACTGTGTTGATGACTTTGAAGACTCATTCCCCCCACTCCCCAAACTGAATGGTAGATTCAGTGCAACCCTAAAACCATCTAGCAGCTAATTAGAAATTAGCAAGTCTGAATTTAAAATGTATATGCAGATGCAATGACTAACCATATCTAAGGACAACCTGAAAATAGAAAAATAAATCTACAGGACTTAGAGTGCTGGATATCAAGACGGTGGTATAGGCAGAAGCATAAACAATGTCCAGAAACAGTCCCCAATATATTAATCTATGACAAAGGTGACAGTGTAATATTGTGGTAAAAAGATGGCATTTTTGATAAATGGTGCTGGGTTAATTGGCTCTCTGTATGTGTAAGAGAAACACTTTGTAGCCACCCACCACACACAGAAACTCGTTTCGTATAGATTGTACATCTAAATGTGAAAGGTAACACTTTTAGAAGAAAATACAGGTAAGCATCGTGGCTTTGGCTAAGACACCTTAAACAAGAAACAAAAACCATAGATGAATTCGACTACATTAGAATTAGAACTGCTGTTTGTTCAAAAACAAAACCCCCCCAAAAAACAGGAGTTAAGAGACTGGGAGAAGATAATTGCGATGCATATCTCAAACCAAGGACTCTTCTACAGAATATAGAAGGAATTCCAACAAATCAGCAAGAAAAAGAAAAATGAGCAGCAGATTGAACATAATTCACAGAGTATACTTAAATGATCAGTAAATGTGGAAAGTTGCTCAATTTCTTTAGTCATCAAGGAAAAGCAAATTCTAACAAAAATGCAATACCACTGCACACCAGAATAACTACAGTGATAAAACACCAACTGATAATGAAGATCTGAAGCAACTGGGACTAATACAAGTTTGGTGGGAATGTAAGTTGTGCCCTTTGGAAAAATGGACTCTTTCTACTAAAGCTGAACATACATGTAAATTTTGGCTGTGTAATTATACTTCTAGATGTATCTTGAACAGAAATATATGTTTCCTGAAAGAATGATCATGGTGGTAGTATTCTCAATAGCCCAGAAGTAGAAATAGCATGAATGGGCACCAACA